ACAGGTAATGTGTATATACACACACACACACACACACACACACACACACACACTTTTTACTTGTATATCCTCATGCTTAATTTGAATTACTGCTAAACTCTCATTGCTAACTGATTCTTCCTCACATCTAATATGAATCTGTATTTGCTGACCTCGTCACCCAGGGCAGTGGAGAGGAAGAAGATCTGGATGAAGACGACTCCCTGAGTGAAGACTCCGGCTCTGAGCTGCAAGACGATCTCCAGGATGATTCTGAACAATCCGTCGGGAAGTCTCAGCCCACCACACCGTCCCCATCCCCACCAGCAACACCTAGGCCCACACGCCGACGCCGGAAGCCCTGCTCACCCTCTTTCTCCGATGATGAGAATCGCCCTCCTTCACCTAAGGTCATGAATGTTATGAAGGAAAAAAAATTAATTTTGGAGTGTTTCATGTCCCAATAATAAATTCCGAAAACATTTTTAAAAATTTTTAACTTCTGGTGTATTTAGATCAAAGGTTTCAGATGATACCCTTCATCTCGGCATCAGTTCTGAGGGTTAAAATGAGCTATGAGCCTTTTCACTTCAGCTGGGAGATCTGTCTTTGTCTGACTCACCCTCTCTGTGTTTATAGACCTCAAAGACTGAGCTGCCTCAGAAGTTGTGTTTGGACACTAGCCCCCTGGAGTGGAGCGTTACTGATGTGGTTCGCTTCATCAGGACCACTGACTGTGCACCTCTTGCAAGGATTTTTTTGGATCAGGTAAGAAATTTTAACAGGCTTAATGGCCACTCAGGATGAGAGCTCACTCCGCTCCAATCCACTACTGCAAGAAGTGCATTAAACACTTGCACTATAGTCATAGCCACACATCAAAACACTTGAACAGCTATAGACTGAGCCAAAAAAAAAAAACAAAAACTAGAAACTGCATCTCATTTAAACTTATGTTCATAGGAGATTCTGGGACCGGCCATCAAACTGTGCCACCACATCGAGAGGGTCAAGCTGGCATTTTATCAACAGTTTGCTACGTAGCTCATGGGGAATGAACATGGGACGTGGCTACATCCTGTTTGGTGTTTTAATCCTGTGAACAACATGACTTTTCAGACACTGGACATCCTTTAGAAACCTGCGTATATCATTGTGTTGGACGAGCATGAACATAAGATGGACAAAGCAACATTTATTGATCCTTGGAACAAAAGAGCAGAGAACTAGGGTCAAAAACTCTTTAGGAAAGGCAGAGGGAAGGACAGAAAGAGAAGAATTCAAGGCACTTTGATGCCATAAATAAGTGTTAATGCCTTTATTAAATTCAACATGTTTTGACTTAAAAGTAATCCATAATCAAGGACTTTGTTTTAAGTTGTTGATGTTTAGTCATGTCCTTATTAGGGCTTTTTACCTACCGTGCTTTCTAATTTTTTTGGATTCTCCTCTAAGTGACTAAGCACCAGTGCTTCATCTCCACAGGTCTGTTGCATCATTTGTGATTTCTAATCTGCCTTGACATTTCTAAAAGGGAATACCATGGATTCACAGCTTTTACTTGTCATACTAATCTCTAGAATATTTGGTATCTGCTGGGCAACATTTACTGTTGGCTGCTGGAGTCAGAAAAGAGGTGGACTTGCTGCTTATTCTGGTGATTTCACACTGAACATTTTTAGTGCAGATAAGTGTAAGCACATGACAGCAGAAGCACTTAAAAACAGATTTTCACAAAATCTATTTTATTTCTAGAGCACCGAGCCTTTGTCGTGCATTTTCTAGCTTTTAAAGATTCCCTTATATTCTCAAAGATCATTTGGCACATTAAGCAAAAATAAAAAAAGTGTTTGTACAGTCAACTACAAGTTGCATACAATTAATGAACAATTAACATGTGGCTTGAAAGACAAAGGTAATGGTAAATAAGATATACTGATACTAGATTTGATAGAACAGTCGGTGATTGTTGCAAGCCATGAAATTAGACTGTCAACACTAGACCTGTATACTGTATCAGCACCATGTTGTCCAGCTGAATCACAGTACAAGGAGGTTCATCTTAAGAGATAAAATTGCTTTGTTGTTTAAGCTTGTACAGTATGTAAGAGCAGTTTACAGGGCAAGGATTCTATAATGCAAGCACAAGTGAAACCATGTACTGTACAGTAGTATGCAAATATGACAGTGCATGTTTGTATATAGTGTATATAATCAAATATCTTCTAGTGCAACAGGGTGAATAGAAAATAAGTCTACTGAGCCACTAACTTCCTGCAAAAGCAATGAGCAAATGCCCAAATATACAGTAGGTTTGCACAGAATAGGCCTAAATGTTATCATATGGGAAGAAAGGTTGAAACTAATTCAGCAACAGTTGATTATTTGAGCAGTTTAATATCAGCGGTTTATCACTTAACATTTAACTTAATTGGGCCATTTGAAAAGCAAGATTTTCAAAATGCATTTGTAAATCAGATTAACCCTTTTTACCTGCTCTTTAAATGTGATTTTCTGTAATGTGCTTCATTTGAAACTTTTTATTCTTTTGCTTGTAGTTACAGCTGTTCTCAAAGCAACGGACCAGATTTTTTATTTCATGTTTGAAGGTTACAGCTGCTATTTAAAGAGTGCACTGCAATAAAGACGGTGGACAACGAATTTCAGTCACTCTTTGGAGTTTGTCCTACATTTCCCAGCATGCAATTTTTACTCAACGGAGATCACATGACACTACGTCTGTCAACATGAGTGGGCACTGCTGGGCAGGGAAGCAGATGGATATACGCGAATTATGACCTGCTAATTTATCTGCATTCATTTTTGATACAAACGTTAAAATCGCAAAGGACTCATGTACGCGCCGTTTGTAACACTGAAAGGATTTAAGTTTGCTAGCCTGGCGTTAGCTTAGGGGAACTGAGCTTGGAGGCTAGCTAGTTAGGCAATGGTAGCATCTCAGCAGCTGTATCTTTTGTTCTACTATGGACGTTTGTCGGCAAAGATCCACGTTGGGCCGGTTGATCTACACTGTACAGTACATTTAAGAAAAGTTATAACATGTCTGTTTCACTAACTAAAGGACGGAGGCTTGGTGGCGTGTCCGTTACCAGTTAGCTCGCATACAAGAGACTCCAAGTCGAGCTGACGTTTTTCTCTTCTGTACGGTCTAAACTCGCTAATGATTTTTTTTTTTAAATGTTGCAACTCAGTTTTGAAGTGTATAGTGGAGTCAGCTGGAACCACACAGTACATTATTGCAACTTAGAATAACTCGTCGGAGGGACGGTTTAACTTCTCTAAAGAAGAAACAAATGGCTTCATGAATGTGTAAAGCAGGAGAATGACTGCGCGCCTGCCAGGAGGAGGATGCTACCGTCTTTCACTGAAGAGTGTCCTGCATAACATATCGATTAGCTGACCAACAATTGCTGCAGAAGTCTAAGCCCAGAGTCTGTGTGCGAAGCTAACTGCCCTTGGTTTTCTCAGTTAGGACTCGTCCAGCTCTTCTGTCCCATGGCTGCTGTTAGCGGTGTCAACATGTTGTCCCAGCTCGGAGACGTAGCGTTGTCAGGTCCAGGAGGAGCAGGGCTGCCTGCAGTGTCCCTAACCAACACGTCGGCGTCTTCAAGCCGGACGCCAGGTACTGAGAACCGGGGGTGCAAGAACGGCGCCTTAATGGACTCGTTCGGGATTTTCCTACAAGGACTTCTTGCCGTCATGGCCTTCAGCACGCTGATGTGTGAGTATGACTAAAGGCCAGCTCTGTGTCAGATATCTGACACCAGCTGCTGCTGTGTCTGGGTACTTATCCAATAGCATCACGCCGCTAATCAAATGCGAAATTGACAGGATTATGTCCGACCCTAAAATAGATAAGGCCTTTCTGTCAGTTGTTGAACAGGGAGTTCAGTTAGATCCAAGCTACGCATGATATTGTCAGTAGTTGTAATAAACGCCACTTATTCTATGCACTTTCCTACCTTTTCCTGCAACATAATATCTGTTCTGTCCTTCGCAGATTAAAACATTTCTATACCTTGCTGTGTGTGTTGGAGGTTGTAATTAGTACCTACAGCTCCTATTCACTCCTTACAAAAAATATGAAAGGCACACTATTGAAATTTCATTTTACTTAGCGCACCTTTTAAAAACTTATTAACTACAACCCCAAATCAGAAAAAGTTGGGATATATGTAAAACTAAAACTGCAAATAGTGTTTTGTAAACCATCTGCAAATAAGTCTTAAGGTGCACAACAGTCCTGGGTCTTCTTTGATGCAATTTGGTTTCAAAATGTGCCACACATTTTCTATTGGGAACAGGTCGGGACTGCAGACAGGCCAGTCCAGCACTCACACCCCTTTCCTCCACAGTCAGGCCTTGGTAACGTGCAGGATGAGGTTTTCCATTGTCTTGTTGAAATATGCATGGACGTCCCTGGAAAAGATGTCATCTTGAAGGCAGCACATGCTGCTCCAAAATCTCTGTATTTTTCAGCAATAATGGAGCCATCACAGAAGTGGAAGTGACCTTTGCCAAGGTCACTGACACAACCCCAGACCATGACAGACCCTGGCTTTTGGACTTGTTGCTAGTAACAGTCTCTTTGGTCCGGAGCACACTGTGTCCATTCCTTCCAGCAAAGACCTGAAATACTGGTTCATCTGACCACAGTACACGTTTCCGCGTTTGCCCGGAATAGTCGACTGCACCTCTGGAGACTGTTGACACAGGGCTTCCTTTTGGCACAGTACATTTTTAAGCAGCATTTATGGATGCAACTACGTGTTGTAGTGCCTGACACAGGTGTGCCAAAGTAATCCTGAGCCCATGTGGTTCTGTCGCTTATAGAAGAGAGACGATTCTTGATGCCGGGGCGTCTGAGGGATCGGAGAGCACGGTCATCCAGCTCAGGGCTGCATCCTTTGTCCTTTACCCAGTGAAATCCCTCCAGAATCCTTGAATCCTTTAATCATGTTCTGCACTATAGAGGATGACATATCCAAATCCCTTCCTATCTCTCTTTGAGGAACATTGTTTTTAAACATTTCAATAACTTTCTCACACATATGTTGGTAAGCTGGCATCCTTCCCATCTTTGCTCCTAAAGAGCTCGGCCTTTCCTGGATGCCACTGTTGTACCAAATCATGATGCAGTGACCTGTTGACATCACCTGTTTCAAATGGAATCATCACTTTATTGTTTTGCCTCATTACTACCCTGAAATGCAGCCGTCCCAACTTCTGTGGAATGTGTTGCAGCATCAGAATTGAAGTGTTTATTTTGAACAAAGAATAAAACTGATGAGGTATCACATCAAATAATGTGCTGCTGTATTGTTTTCAATGTAATACAGGACACAGATGATTTACACATCACTATTTTCAGTTTTAATTTTGATTTTATATACTGTCCCAACCTTTTCTGATTTGGGGTTATAAAAACAGGCTATTACGTTACATACTGATTTTTCACAGCTGTTGTTCACTAGGTTCATTCATGTTTACTTTTTCCCTGTGATTCATTTTCAGTTTTTTCCACCTCTTGCTGAGATCGCTTTATGTCAAAGCTGGGCAGCCTAACATATATTTGGATAGACAGGGAAACACTGGTGTAGAAATTAAAATCACACTCAGGATATGGTTCCATTCAGTCAGGGTTTGGCACTGGGCTGCCAGCTGTGTGACCTAATGACAACAGCCTTGCAACAGTGAGGAATGCTCAACATTTCAGAGCTTTTATTGCTCGAGGCAGCTCTCTGAGCACAAGGAGTAGGCGTCCACCTCTGCCTGTGTTTACATCCCACCCGGCTGCACCCAGGGCACGTTTGGTCTGTTGTCATGCTTGTGGTCATAGCAGAAGCTGAGATCATAATTTGCACTACAACTTTTCCACATGAAAACACAAGAAACCTTAAGTAAGCGTTTGGACAACACGACGCCATAAGTGCAAGTTTAGAGAGGTGAGCTTGTCTGATGACTTGCTTAGGTGTCACAGCTTTGAACAATGCAGAGTCCAGTGCTGTCATAACATTGATGCTCCCCTGTCACCATGCAGCTGTGTGTCATAGGAGTTAAAAGAACGGGGTAGAGGGGGTGTCATAGAAAACAAGGCTCTATTGTGAAGAACAGCAAGAGCTTTATTTGTGTTGGACATGCCACTGCTTTCAGTGATGAGCCTTTGTGCAGTAAATACCTCAGAGTCCTTTACACAGAGGGATTAATTAAAGTGGTGACATCTAAAAAGCCCATAACTTAGACATCCCAAATGTGCATGCATATATTCAGTAGTTGCAGAGTTTGTTACCTGGGAAACAGTGGTTTGCCCACACTAGCATACTGTCATCCACATCCATGCAGTGTAAGACAAACAGGTTTTTGCATTTTCAATTTGACTCTGGACAAACACCTTCATTGTGTTCGCTTTTTATTACTGAAGTGTACTCTTAACTTAGTCAGGCTAGATGTGCAGCTTTTTTTTTTACCAAACAAAGGTTAACTTCTTCTTTTTGTCAGCTCAAAAGAAACAGCTTCCTGTTAAACATAGAAATGACCAGAAACTAACGGCATTGGAATAATCATTTCACAGCTGCTGCACGATATTAGTTCAGGTTCTGCTCACACCGAGACCAACATATTGTCTTTGCTCAGGTCTTGTTTTGCAACAACAAGCCATCCACAGATTTAGCCTGTAGCCTACACTGAGGCTCACTTTAACCCAAATATCTCCTGTGTAGTTCCTGTAGGCCCCGATGAGAAGCTTTTTGATGTCTCACTTGTGAGCCTGTGACTTGTCAGCTCTTATTTCCAAATCATAAATATGTCAGTATTTGGCTAGATTTTCAGTAGCACTAAACAAATAACCTACTGTCAAACTTATAAAATACTTATAATGACCATGATAACACTATGACTTTTGACAGCTCACATTAGTGTTGTAAAAACAGTGATTCAGTGATTGATTCTCCTGTGAGAA